TATTTGATTAGTGATTCAGAAATGACAAAAACTATTTTTTTAAATTTGTGTGTTAAAATGTCATGACATTTATTTTAAATTGTAAACATTCTAAGGATTATATTTCTTTTCAGGTTTATTTCAAATTCTGAATCTAAAAGTTTTGAGAAGGTAGAAGATTTTTCATAGGACATGAACTAGAAAATCAGACTTTAATGTTTGACCTAATGACCTAAACATGTGATCGTAACAGGAGCTTGTAGAAGCTTATCAGGCAGAGAGTGCAGCTACTGGACGCCCCAGACTCATGCTCACTGCTGCAGTGGCTGCTGGGAAAGGAAACATTGACGCTGGTTATGAAATTGCAGAAATTGCCAAGTATGTGTTATTGAAGGGCTTGTGTTCGTAATGAATCATGAAATGGGTTAATGGACAAAGTCTTTTAAAATGCAAATCAAAGGATTTTGACAAACCCATCACTATTTGACTGTGAAAACGATGTTTCCCTCTGGTGATTCAGGTATTTGGATTTCATCAATATCATGACCTATGATTTCCACGGCTCATGGGAAAGTGTCACTGGACACAACAGTCCTCTGTATCGAGGCTCTGGAGACATAGGAGACAAAATCTACTACAATACTGTAAGAAGAACATATTTTACTGTATTATGAAAATATAATATCATGTACACCAAGTCTGGAAAAAATAAGATTTGTATTTTTGAACATAATTATATTTTACGCAAAACAAAGCTGCATTATTTAATATAAATACAGTAAAAAACATGCTGTAAAATATAAAAAAATGTTAATAAAAAATTTATAATTACTACTTCAGTAATATATCTAACGTGTTGATTTATGCTCAGTTGTTAACAATTACTGAAACTCAGTTATTAATACCTGTTATCTTATCAATGTTGAAAAAAGTTTTAAATTATTTAATTATTTTAAGTAAAAAAATATACTTGAAATATAAACATTTTGTAAAATTATAAATGTCTTGACTTTTTTTTATAAGTGAAGTTTTTAAACTAATTTCGAGAGGAACACGTGATATAATTGACAGCAGCTGGCCACCTATCTACACTCATTAGTTAGCCAATCAGATCTATCCTAACACACTATAAGTAGCCTAGCTAGACATTACTCCCTTATCTTCGTTTTCCGAAGAAACCCCCCATCCACCCCTTTCTCCTCCTTTTCTCCTTTACAAAAATGGGAGCTCTCGAGAACCACCTGATCTCGTACTCCCCTCACATGCTCTATGGACCTGGCGGGAGCCCTGGGCTCAACTATCTCCGAGCTCAGGGTTCTCTCCCGGGACAGCATGCCAAACCTGCTTACAGCTGTCAAGCAATATCTAAGTGTGAACTCTTGAAATGTAGCTTTAAAAATGTTTTAAAGGTTTAAATTCAAATTTAGTACATTTTTTGACATCTTCAATGCAACACTTGAGTCACTGCAGGTTAGAATAGTCTAGAAACATAACAGCAAATAATTAAATGCTCATGACAATGCAGGACTTTGCAATGACCTACTGGCGAGATCAGGGCGCTCCTGTGGAGAAGCTGAGGATGGGCTTTGCTGCTTATGGAAGAACGTTTCGCCTGTCATCTGCAGTCAGTGGAGTTGGAGCTCCAGCTAGTGGTGCTGCTTCAGCTGGAACATACACCAGAGAAGCTGGATTCTGGTCCTATTATGAGGTTTAAATGCATATTCATTGTGGAAATGATCAGATTTAATCATACAATACAATGTACTGACTGATCGTCTCCCAACAGATCTGTACTTTTCTAAAACAAGCCACTGTGCAACAGATAGTTGATCAGAAAGTTCCTTATGCAACAAAAGGACAGGAGTGGGTGGGATTTGATAACATGGAAAGTTATAAGACTAAGGTGAGTATTCCAAAGTATAAACATAAATGTATTTCTCATGCTCTCAGTAACTAAGTCTGGTCTGTTTTAGGTGGACTATTTGAAGGAGAAAGGCTTTGGAGGAGCTTTTGTCTGGGCTCTGGATCTTGATGACTTCAGTGGTCAGTTCTGTGGGCAGAGCAAATACCCTCTTATTGGACAACTTCGCACACTGCTTAATATCAACAACACTGGTAAAAACATCTCTGTGGAGCCCTTTTCTACAACTGAACAAATAATTATTTGGTAAATCATAATGAAATTATGTCATGATTATGAGATAGGAAAATCAAAAGGATTACATTTTAATAATTGAGAAGGTGAAATAGGATTACATTTTAATAATTGAGAAGGTGAAATTATAAGTTAAAAGCCATAATTCTATCATAACTCTGTATAGTAATAAATATGTAATTGGAAATGTTAATGTGTTTGGTCTTGGCGGCATAGATCTGCTACCCTGCTGCTTTGATTATTGTGGCAGGGCAAGAGACTTGCAACTTCCAGCATATTCACAGACACGCAGTCTGGGACAACAACACACTGCTGCTGCAAACACATGTAACCCCCCCAGCCGATCTAAAAACAACACTGGGGCATTTAAAATGTTGAGGAGCAAGCTAATTGCCTGCTGATACAACCTCAATCAACTATCCACACAATGTAGTTGATGACGTAGGAGCAGATTAAATGTGGCCTATCACCCTGTGTATGGACAAGATCTCACAACAGAACTTTGTTTTCTTTGTTTATGAGGAAAAACAGTGATAAAGTCTATTAGGAGATTTAAAAGTCAGTTTCTTACAATGCTTCAACTTTTAGACATAATTATGATTTAAAGGTGTAGTATGTAAGTTTGACACCCAGTGGTTGAACTACTGTATATTGCACTCCTGGATCAAAACAAACGCAAGCGCAGGTTGCCAGATGGAGGAAAGGAGTCAGTGATTTAGAGTGAAAATTATGACAATGATCACCTCAAGTAAACCTCAGGAGATAGTTCACCTCAGATCTTGAAAATAAACCATTTGAAATTAAACTTTAGAATTAAACACATACAGTATGAGTGATTTACCATGTACATTAAAAAAAAATGAAAATGGGTTAATTTTTTTGGTATTTCTGGGTATTAATCAGATGATAAACCTTGGCGCGTTGTTAGGACACGCGGTTACAATGTAACCTGCTCACCTAATGTTAACGTTCATAATATTTTTATTACTTGATAATTAATAGCCTCCTGTGTAACTCTGAATCTGTGTCTAATTTCGGAGTCTGCTACTGTCCACCAGAGGTCGCATTTCGGTCAAGGACGCATGCTTCAGAGCCTTTCTGAATGAATGAATGAATGAATGAATGAATAAATGAATGAATGAATGAATGAATGAATAAATTAATGAATGAATGAAATACACTGTTTTTAACCAAGGCAACCCGGGTGCTGAAATATAATTGGCTTAACTGGCATTGGCAAGTTAAAATTATCAAAACAAAGAGAGCATTGTGGGCACGGAATACACATTTTCAAAGCAGAATAACTGACTTCAGAATTGTTTTTCAGATAAACAAAATGTTCACTTGGCATGTTTCTAAAATATCTGCAAGCATATTATAATATTTTTATGCTTTAGAAGAGTCAAAAACTTACATTTAACTTTTTTATTTCAGTTATGAGTTGGCATATAAAATCAGCATTTGATCCCTTTAATACCAATTATAGTCATCGCATGTTTATTACTTAGTATCTCATAATAAGAACTTTTGATTTATTAATTTACTTTGTAAAGTATAAATTTGAGTTGATCTCATAAGTGACGTTGTGTGACATAATTATGACTTTTTGACATCTCATAATGAAATAACTATAGATTTATACCTTGGTATCTCAGTTTTGATTTCATAATTACAACTCAGTATCTTATAAATAACTTGCACATTTTATCATTAGGACAGCATATAGCAATTTTAATTTAAGACTTGGTTTGTCATCCTTTGAGTTGACCTCAAATTTTCCATCTTGTGCATCAACATTCTGACTTGTTGCGTCAAAAATATGATTTACCAAAGCACGGTTATTAAATTTTGATGACAATAAGCTTCCATACGTATATCTGACAAATAATGATAATTATTAATGTTGCCTTTTTAAGATTATCTATTAAGGTTATATATAAGAATAGGTCATGTACAGCTCTTTTTGCATCACCATCAATGTTTATTTTGCAATAAGGAATTCCTGACTGTATATTATATCATTTATTGCTTGATCACTTAAAAAAGGTAAATACTGTAAACAATTATGCTGAAATCATCTCATAATGGTTCATTACCAATAAATTATCTTAAAGCATCAACATTTAAGTTTCAATAACAGAGTTATCATGTTCATCTATGAATTATTGGAAATATCTGGCATCCGAATGAGGCACACTGACCAATCAGAATGCAACAAAACAGATTAATAATTGACATAATTTCTTCCTTCAGAGTTCCCATATAACCCTCCAAGCACAACAGTTAAGCCCAGTGGGAGGCCCACAAGAGCATCTGCTACTGTACCTTATGCCACAAGACCTCCTGTTGTACCGACGGCGCCCTCAGGATCAGACTTCTGTACAGGCAAATTAGAGGGCATCTACGAATACCCAGCTGACAGCATGATCTACATTCATTGTGCCAATGGCAGGACCTTCATACAGAGATGTCCTGCAAAGACAGTCTTTGATCCCGACTGCAAATGCTGTAACTGGCCTAAATAACCATGTTATAATTGTTACATGACAAAGTAAATGTTTTTAGTAGATTAGCAAAATTTGGGCCCATTAATGCCACAATTTGATTTCTGTCATGTTGAAGTTAATGTTTTAAAATTAGACATAGAGAGCCAAACATATACCACTGCTTTCTTTTGAAAATGCTACATTTTGATGGTTGGAGAAGTATAATTTGCCTAATTAAAACTAACCTGAAGCACTAATCGTCTGCTTATTTCACATTTTGAGTGGCAGTGCATTTGTAACACCGTGACATGGCTAATTTCAAACATCTTGTTTGTTAGGTTTGTATATTTATGAGGGGGAATAAAGAATAAACACCCATGTTTCTATTAATAAAAATATTTATTTAACTGACTGTAAATGAAAAATTAACTCATCAATCACAAACATTTCAAAATAATGAAGGTAAACAATTAAACGACCATTTCAGTGCAAAAATAACTAGGATTTAAAGTAACATTTAACAGCTTTGCAGTGCAATAAAGAACAATAAATTACAGAATATCAAATCCACTCCACATACAAATCACTAATTTGTATGAAAATCTATTGGCGTTTTTATGTACCTCACCGTTAACTTAAATCTTCAATAAAATCTGCATAAATTAAAACACTAACTTCAGACAGAGTATGTAGAGTGCTCCGTTTGAGATGAAACTCTCAAGTTAATCAATAACAATAATCAGCATATCAGAATTCAAAAATATTATCTGTGCGTTCTGAAGCAAATTAAAAAAATGTAACTAGTTTGCTCAAGCTCCATCATTTCTCCTAAACCCAGTAACATTCAAAGGCAAAAAGTGGCACTCAAAATTGTAAAACACTATTCATCACTTAAGGATCATAATGCCCATTTGTCTGATTTATTAGCATGACTAGCTGGTTGTTTTTCTGTACAGTCACTCTGTTACAGTGTAATGATTATGCTTCGCAATGTTTTGTGTTTTTAGTCATGGGCAGTGTAGCTTATGTTCACTCAGTCATTCAGCCAACAAATTTACAGTAATTTGGTCAGATTATTCATTAATCACGACAAAAGTGATGTCAAAAATTAACAAAGTGTTGTAGCATGATGTCAAAACCCAGAAGACTCGTTTGAGAGAGTTTTTCAATACATTAAGTTCTGAGGTAAATGATTTAATCTGAATACTGACCTGCACAAGCTCAGCTAGAAAACTAATTTTGAAGTAAACTACATTTATTTTACTCTTTAACATGTTACTACATTAATGTGTTTGGGAAAGAGCTGTGCACCGCAACTGATTTCATTAATGTTGAAAGGGAAATTGTGTAAATAAGTGGTTGACTAGTTTACCAAACCCTCAGAAAGAAAAAACAAACAGTAGGTCATTTATGTATAAATCATCCATTTACATTACTCTAACAAAATTTGTGCGGGTTAAATACAGCTGTAGGCTAATTGATTAGCCCTCCTGTATAATTTATAATTCTTTCATATTCTAAAGTATTTCACAAGTGCTTTTCCAAATTTACAATGTGTTTTTCAAGACATTGTTAAACACATCTGTCTTAATAACGAATTTGCCATAATAACAGTACATAATATTTCACTACTTATTTTCTAGTAAACAAACTGCAAATTAAAGGCTTTACTAGGTAAACTAGGATAGCTATGCAGGTCATTGGACAACAGTAGATAATTCTGTAGCCAATCTAATAAAAATAGTGCTAATAATATTGACCTTATCTTTTATATTATTACTTAAATAGAAATAGAAAAGTTATTATAGGAAAAATGTGACAATGTTCATGCTATGAAAAAGAAAAAAACATTTCACAGGAGGGCTCATAGTTTTGTCTTCAACTATATATGTAGTGCTGGTCAACAATTTAAATTACACAAATTAAAGACCAGCGTTTCTCAATCCTGGTCTTTGCTGCCCCTGGCACTGCTTATTTTGCTGGTCTCTTTTATTTAACACACCTGATTTAGATTGCATAACCAGAACTGTGTTAAGCTTGACATGTTCCCTACATAGTGTTCACTGCTCTCTACCCCTGCACACAGGAATTCTTCTGAATTTGTAGTTTACTTCAGCCAAAAAAATCAGTTATTAGCATTTTTAATCATTAACAGTAATGTGAAGGTTTATTTAACGGTAATCATGTTATCAGCACAGAAGTCACGTCTTGTGCACATTATGTTTTGAATTGAACATGCTTTTAAACTGGAATCATGGGAGAATATCCAGTGATTTTCTTTGGCAGTATACTTATCGTCATCTAATTGTGACCCAAACCTATGAACCTATGAAAAAAAACATACAAAATATGCAGAGCGGGCGGCTATGAGCACCAGGATTGAGGGCCACTGTTTTAAGAGTTCATTTCAGAAGTTAGAATCTGAAGTATAAACATTTGGCAAATACATGAATATGATGTAAACCTGATTGCAGGATTCATTTTAAAATTATATAAACACTTATGCTCTTCTGTCAATGCCTATACTGTTTTTTTTTTATTGATCAGTAAGGAATGTAAGTACGAAAGTCTCACAACCTTCATTTCTTTAGTTTTTTTCTAATGTTATAATTTTTCAAATGTTCAAATCACATGTGTTTAAATGTCCCCCGAGCTGTTTTGAGATCTGTGTAAGTAACATCCCACCGTTTACAGCTCATGCTGGCTGCTGTGAGGTGGAGGCAGATTCATGATGTCATTATTCTGCATGAGCTGGAAGTAGAACTGCACAATCTCTTCATAGTTCTGAATGGAGATTCTCTCGTTCACGCCATGGAATCTAAAGAAGGTGCATGAATGTTCAATTATATTACAGGGTCCTATGAAATGCATTCTAGTTAATTGAACTAGACAACCTAGATCAATGAACTAGTTCGTCTTAGTAATATTAAATTCAACTAATCAGTATGTGCTCTATACCAAATGGCACCATTCATTCAAAATACATAGAGATCTCTGATTTATATAGTCTCTTTTAGTCTGATATTCACAGACAAAAGTATTTATATTCATAGAAATGGAGAATTATACACGAAAGCTAAATAAATACGCTTTCGATTGATGTTTCCTTTGTTAGGACAGGACGATATTTGGCAGAAATACAACTCAAAATCCGAAATCGATGGGTTCCAAAAAATCTATAGGCTTAGAAATCCTCCTTTAAATGAAGTGCCTATTAATGCACATTTTTAATTTGAAATTGAGTTTTGTAAAGGAAATGTACTAAATATCGTTATTAATTATTAAAAAATATAAAAATAATTATCATTAAAAAATTATCATTTTGATTTATATACTGTATTATTGGCAATTGTCAATATACCTGTACAAATAATATTAGTTTTGGGGTACAGTGTCACATTTGGAGAATTGATCATATGTACAGCAATACTTTTATTTTATTTACCCAAACTTTGACAAATTCTGTGACATTCCACTTTTTTCCGGGCAATTCTGCTTTTATAAAAGTTCTAATTTAATTAAAATTATCAACCACAAAACCTGTCATTGAAAGTTCTACTATTTAAGTGTTAGAGCCTTACCTCTGAGGATCCCCAGGTTTGAACCACGAAGGAGCGAAGCGATAAATGTCTTGGGTGATGTCTCTGTAGTGCCGGCTGTCAGTGTTGCCCACACAGATGCCTGTGAAAACAAATCATAGAGTGGCTTTTCTCAAGTCAATGATGTATGAAAGCGCCACTTCAGCAAAAATGCATCACAGGACTAACCAGGGGCCACTGTGAGCTGAGGAAACATGCCCAGCACTGTTTTCTTGATTATCTGGAACCCAAACGATTGCTCATCATGGGAGCTGATGGGCAGCGGGTCGAATCCATTCACCATCTCTATCTTCACACGATCATCAGATATGGTTGACTGGACCAACTCCAGAACCTGCAAGAAAACATATACAGTAGGTTTGGAACAACTTTAATGTTCATAAATGATTACAGGATTAACATTTTTGCATTAAGGGGTTAGTTCACTCAAAAAAAAATCTGTTATTAGTTACTCCCTCATGTCATTCCAATCCACTGAGAAATTTCCCCATCATTTTGTCACGGTCGGGTGAGGGGAAAAAAAGAGCGAGGACTCAATTGCAACAAATAATAAGGGTTTTATTAATAATAAAGTACAAACAAAACAAAAAGGCAAAACAAACTACCCTGAGGGGGAAAAACATAAGTATAAAACAAACAGACAAACTTGGTTCGGCTGGCAAGACACGACTGGAACAGGAACACAGAGGGAGTATAGACGTCGAACTGGCACAGAACAGAAGACATGAGGAGATTATAAGGAGGAGAAAATTAACACACAACAGATGAACATAATTAACTAATAATGGGTTAACAAGCGGGGTGGGACTAGACAATAGACGGGAGAGCGCATGACAGAGACAAGACAAGCCATGCGCTCACATAAAACAGGACAAGAACATGCAGCCAATGAGAGAACTCATTAACCACATGTTCATGACAACACAAGCACAACACTGAAGCACACAACAAAGCACGCGACCATAATGTAAACACCAAGCCACGTGCTTTGACAAGAGACGCAAGACATGAGCACACGATTGATAAACACCTTACCGTGCGCATATGCAATGCGCATGATTCATCTCAGCGCCAACCAAAACTGAAACCAACTAGACGGAGGCGCCATGAATGAAGCAGCGCGATGCTGACAGAAAAACAGAAACACTAGTACAAACGCGCGCGTCCGAGGCACACAGAGCGGGAGCGTGCACACTCTGCGTACACCCACGACGGCGTGCGCGCACACAGAGGCATACAAAGACAGAAACAGGACAAGACAGCTAGTGCCCGGGCTCTGCCACCAAAACAAAAATTTACCAGACCAGAGTGGCAGAACCCTGACACATTTAACATAAATATATTTTAGACAAAATCAGAGAGAAATCCTCAGCAATAGTCTTGAGACCTTCATAGTCAAGAAAAATTTCATGTGAATTCAGTGGTTCAACTGCAATCACTCTAAATGGGTGCTCAGCTAAACAGCAAAAAATATATTGAAAAAAGGCGGCAACACCAAAGCTCCCAAAAAATCACTAATTTATTAAATTAAAAAGGCTAACACAAAGCATGTAGTGTTTGGAACACACCGGCTCTTCATCTGACAGTATTCATCACAACATGTTGCTCTATTTATACACGAATCACATGATCTCATACAGTACATTAATCTCACAACACAATACACATTAGTAAATTACACAACTTACATATTCAAAACGAAAACACAAAAACAAATCCTAATAATACATCACAAATAAAGAAAAGCATAACAGACTATAAAAAAGAAATGTTATAGTCAAAACCTTTACCCAAACAACTAATTAAACAAGAATAAAAAGGACGTCAACGTATCTACACATCTACACACGCGTATCTACACATCTCGTCTGGATTATTGCAACTCTTTGTATCTGGATGTGAGTCAGGCCTCTCTCTCGCCTGCAGCCGGTCCAGAACTAAACTGCATTGCTTTTAACAGGCACAAAACAGGAGAGCACACCACACCTGTACTGGTTTCACTACACTGGCCACCAATCCAGTTTAGAATAATGTTTTTAAATCCCTCCATGGCCTGGCCCCTGAGTATATTTCTGAGCTAACTAAAATGCACCAACCCATGAGATCTTTTCGCTGTAAGGATCAACTCTATTTTCAAGTTCAGCGATTGCGCTTGAAATGTCAAGGTAATAGAGCTTTTTCAGTAGCAGCTCCAAGACTTTGGAACAATCTTCCACTCTCCTTAAGAACATCTTCAACATTCAGGTCACTGAAAACACATTTATTTTCTTTAGCTTTTAATCATGTGTTGTGAGTTGGTTTCTTTTATGTTTGCATGTATTATGTGTTTTTATGTACAGCATTTTGGTACCCATTGTGGTTGGTTGAAAGTGCGCTAAAAATAAGTTGCACTGCCATTTTGTAGTTTCCTTTTAATACGATTACAACAATCATCGGGTGTTTAGTCTCGTTTGGCGAAAAAAATCCTTGCAACAGTCATAGGTTAGTGTTTTCATCCAAAGTAAATTAAATTTAATAAATTTAATTGAAACAAGATGAATTAGGCCCAATTCCAATTCTATTTCTGTACCCCTACCTCTTCCCAATCCCCTTGGCCCTTAAAACAGAGGGCTTTAAAATTTACTCCTAAGAATTGGGACAGCACTACAGCACCAGCACACATCATCATATGACATCACAATCTCTTGCACCATAAGAGATCAGACAATCGCGAATGTTGTAGTTATTCCAGTTGTGTTATTTTTGGTATTTATCTTCAGGAAATCACTGAAGGAATATATTATGTTATCATAACGATCTAATGTGGCAATAAGATTGTAATACTGTGCATTTAACACAGTGGCCATATTCATCTATGGAAACACACCAAAAACAATATTAACAGTATAGCAGACATTGTAAAAAGCCCATTCACAGCCACTAGACTTTTCAGACAGGGTATTAGAGCGTCATAGTGTGTCAGAATGTTGTGGGAATACTATACAGCACTTATGCATGCATGGTGGTGAGTGACGAGGACTGCAATATCTGCTGTTAATTTTCCAAGTGACTAACTTTTTCTATAAAACCACAATCATACTGAATGTTTTCATATCAGGATGCATATAATGCATACAGCCACATGTTTTAGTTTAAATCAAATAAGCAGAAACAAACGTTGTGTGTATATATACTGTATATAATGTGTTCATGTTTAATCAATGTGTTTAAATTGTGTATGCTTCCTCATTTCTCTCTCATTATGCAAGAGCAAATTGGATGACAATTGTTAACATGTTAATTAAAAAAAACGTTTTAATAAATGAATAAAATGCAGCTTGGTGTGAACTTTACTGTTTTATCTTTTATTTATTGTAACTGATCTTTAGGAAATCTAAAAAAAAATCTAATTTAGAAGCAGATACTCAGCAGCTGTCTAAAACAGGATGGGGAGCTAATAAAATCAAATTCTATGTATTACCTGGACTCTGGAGACTAAAGCAGGTCGCACACCAGAAGCGACGCTCGGCGGCGCGCCGCGCAGCGCCACGTATTTTAGAATTCTAATCATTTTCTGATTCTATCAGGATACACACACCGGCGCCGCAAGTCGGCGGCTGTCGGCGGCGCCCGGCGACGGCTCAGGACGCAGTTCATTTTTCAGCCGCGCCACAGAGCGCCATCTGATTAGTTTCATGTTAAATATCATTCGAATGTGCGCGTCTGGTGTGCGATACTTTAATCTGTCATGTACGCGCCGTGTCGCGGCGCCGAGCGGCGCTTCTGGTGTGCGACCTGCTTAAAAGTAGAAAAAATATAAATGGGAGTGGTACAGGAATGGGAGTCATTTTACCAGGAGCGGGATGGGACAAGATTATTTTTTAAACTTTGCTCTGGGAGAGGGACGAGACAAGATTTCTTTCTGTGGGAGTGGGACGGGACAGGAGTGAAAATCCACTCCCGTGTCATCCTCTAGAGGACACTTAACAAATTCAATCCCCTTTGTGTTGTAGAGTGGAGACAGAATTTCTCATAACTGAAAAAATGCTGTGCAACCGGACTTCTGGTGTCAAATAGCGCATCAATGCTCAGAAATATGAACTTTTAAAGGCCTACTTGTCTTACCAACATAACATACCACACAGGCACCACAACATATAGATTACATTGGCTGTACTGCACAAAATCACACCTCAAATTTTAAACTTTTCAGCTGAATGGAGATGTGTAAAAGTTGACTAATGGCAAATACATTAAACCCTCTGTAATATATGCGCACCATAAACTAAAGCAGCAGTGAAGACGTAGGTGAATAGATTCATTTTTACAATTTTTTTGGCACACAAGAGTTCTTGGGAGTTTCATATGATTAAAGTTGAACCACTGAAGGTACATGGAATGATTGTCAATGTTTTTGGTCTCTTTTATAGACTTTGAAAGTCTGAAGAAGAATGAATGTTTCAGGCCATTGGAATGACTTAAGGTCAATTAATAACAGAATATTAAATTTTGGGTGATCTAATCCTTTAAGTATGCCTTAATAGCAATTCAATACTCTGTAAGGTGATCTCAGTGACTTATTCTGAGTGATTTATACGAGTTATATATACATACAAGTTAGAAGAGTGAAAGTTAATAGATGAGCTATTGGAATTGTAGTCTGGACTGAATTAGTCATTGCTGTAACCTCTCACCTCCTGCAGCGTTTGGGCTGAGTGGATACGGAAATTGACATAAGCCTCGGCGTATGACGGGATTATGTTAATCTGTTAGAGAAAAAGAAATAATGAGATCTCCATTTGCGCTAACTACTTATTGAACTTGCAAACAAAGTGGCCTACCTTTACACCAGAGTTGAACATTGTGACGGCAGTCGTGGTCCTCACGAATGCGTTTGTATCAGGTTTCCTCTCCAACACTCTGAATATGAAAGAGACACAAACTCAGGGGGTTATTTACAAGCCTGCACTGTTTATGCACAAAGTTGTTGTTGATTGAAATCAATCAATAAGGTAATTAATATGGTAAGAAAAAAGTTATGTTTAAAAGTCTTTTTTATATATAAAATACTTCAATATTATGAAATATTGTTAAATTTTAAGACAAATAATTTTAGCAGCCTTTACTATGTTCTTCAGTCTCACATGGTCTTTAGAAATCATTTAGATATGATTTAGTTGTGAATGTTCTATAATAAATAGAAAGCCAGTAAAAGAGCAGTATTTGTGTTGAATAAACCTATTTTGTAAAAATGTAAAAGCTTGTACCATCACTTTCTGTTAAATGTATTTTTAAATAATAATAGTATTACTTGTTATTACTTGTTATATATTATCTTGTAAAGAATATGTATATATATATATATATATATATATATATATATATATATATATATATAGAGAGAGAGAGAGAGAGAGAGAGAGAGAGAGAGAGAGAGAGAATATGAACATAAAGAATATAACATAATTGATATTATTAATAATTTTATAAAATAAAATGTACAATTATAATACATATAATAGTATCAAATATTTATACTGTTACAAATAATTATGTATCAAGCTTGTCATATAAGAGCACAACAGGAGATGGTCAAGAGAATGTATTAGTTACTGGTCCTAAACATTTCAGATGCAGGAAAAATCAGGAAACATGGTTTGACATCACAATAATTATTGTAGATGGCATTAAGAGCATCAATATGAACTACCTGCTGAGAAGAGGAGAGAAGAGCCACAGATTAGACATGATGAATCTGAGAGGCAAGCCGAACTATAAAATAAAAACAAGAAAAATAGATTTTCATATACTGTATGCAGAAAACAAATCAGAATTTCATGAAATGTAAAAACCTCTTCTTGCAGAGTTTTACCTTATGTGCCAGGTGTTCAAATGTGCTGCGCTCTGGGCCATAACCAAATAGTCTGGGCATTGGATTTTCCTCCAGCCTGGAAACAGATATTACAGAGAACAATGTATATTCATTAGGCACTGGCCGGTATAAGATTCTGACGGTGTGATAACCTTGGATAAAAATAGCACAGTTTTACGGTATTGTGATTACTGCTCTAAAATAATTTCTTTTTGCGTGCCTGGGTATAAAAACTAAACAAATGTTTCCCTCTTTGAATACAATATATTTTTCTAGAAACGCTTTAAATATTTGGTCCCACTTTATATTAAGTGTCCTTAACTACTATGTACTTACATCAAAAAATAAATACAATGTACTTACTGTGTTTATAATGTATTTGAGAACACTTGTGGTGCTTTTGAGTTGGGATAGAGGTTGGGTTATGGACAGGTTTGGTGGCATGGGTAGGTTTAAGGGTGGGTTAAGGTGTAAGGGATGGTCAACAGTGTATTTACAAATGTAATTACAAAAGTTAATTACAGATGTAATTACATACATGTATTAATTCCTGTGTAAGTACATATTAGTTAAGGCCACTTAATATAAAGTGGGACCAAATATTTTGTTACAGTAAACATGTGAGACTAAACAATTCAAATGAATGACTGACTTCTGCTGTCTTCATTTGTTTCAAAAACACTGATTTCTTTACATTTTTCTTTACAATTTAAAACAACATCTATGGATATCTTTTCTGCTGGAGATACTGTTAATCTAAAAAAAAAAAATTTTTAAATTTTTTTTCATCTATCATAGGAACGGTATAGCAAAACTAAAAGGCTTAACTTTTCTAAACTGTGGTGTACCTTGAAAATAGTTATCCTCTCATGCCTAATATTAATTTATATTAATTCTGTAGCGCAGTGGTGTCATGCCACTATTCATTATTAAAAAATAATAATAAAATACTTCCACAACACAACATTTACTAAAAAGAGAAGAAAAAACATCTGTAAAGTTCCCCAATTATGCCTTTTAAAAAGTTATACTGCATGCCGGACGCCTTCAATGCCTATTATCTACTGTACTTTATATGTACTAACAAAAAATGTTGATTAATTTTTTAATTGATATGACAAAATCAACAGCATCATTACTCCTGAGCTGTCATTCATGTTGGTTATAACAGTAAATGACAAGTTTCAGAATTATCTACTAAACTTATGTAATGTATAATTTATTATTTAAGTCAAAGTAGTTGGCAACTTTGTAATGTAACACTACATGAATGCGCAAATATGATCCTGTAAGTTCTTCGATGTTGTTCTGTAGTTTATACAGAGATTATAACTTCAGTTTCACACTGTCGTTGTGTAAATAAAGTAACAAAACTGTGGAAAGGAAGTATGGGTGTTCGTTTACCTTCTGACTGCTGAAGCCAAGATGCCAATGCTACTCTCTCTGGGTGGCATGGATGAATGTCCTGGAGAAGTACTGACACTCAGCTTTACTGTGGTCTGACCCTTCTCACTGATACCTATTCTATAACACAAATCAGGTATCAGTTACACACACATTCAATCATTCAATGTCAATATTAGTAGAGCTCTTCGAAATAAGGGCTCACAGGGCAGCAGGTCCATCTAGGCCACTGATAACACCGTCCAGCACTGCCAGACCTTCATCTAAAACATACAGGAGCTTTACTCCACGACTCTTCAGGAGCTTCACGATATTGACTGCACCATGTAAGCCATTCACCTAATGAAAACAAAAATAAATGTCATTTAAAAAATATTTTAAGTTGTGGTTTGGCTTTCTTTGCCAAGACCAGAAAGAATTTAGTCTTGGTTAACAGAATCATTTTTATGACCAAACTTAAATAAAAAAAGATAAATAAAATTAAAAAATTTAAAAAAGACAACAAAAATTGATTATATAATGTATAGTTTTGAGACAGAACTTTTGGACAGTGAGCTAAATTGTAATGGTATAATGGTATTAATGGCACTGTCCAGCCAATGGCACTAAATGCACCTAACAAAAAGAGAGACAACGATGAATGTTGGTCACTCAAATTCACACAAAAAAAGTTTAGAAAGTTTTAAATATAGATTTTTTTGAGTAAAATGCTTGGATTTATTTCTTTTAGATCTTTATTCACCCCTGAAACCTCATGTGGATGGCTGCTTTTTATTTAATATTACTATATTGAACTTTTTTAGGGACTGCTGATAAAAGTAATTAGGCTGGCTTGTCAAAGCCAGACTACTGAAATGCTATTTAAACTTATTATTATATTTAATGGGGTTTGCCATAGGCAAAGTCCATTCTTACTATTGTGGTTTATTATTAATGGGGTTTGCCATAGGCAAAGTCCATTCTTACTATTGTGGTTTATTATTCTTCTTCTTCTTCCTTCTTCCGTACCATTTTTCGGCGCGTAACTAGTCCCGCAGCTTTCGTCCCAGACCCTTCAAAGTGGGGTCAAATCGTGCGGTCTTATCGGGAATGGTGTGCTATGACTTTTATAAGGGGTGGGGGGTTTTTTGGCCCCGCAGGGGCCAAAAAACCCCCCCAAAAATCCCATAGACTTAACATTGAGCCGAATTTTGACGAATCACAGCGCCGAGTGTGAATTTCATAGAAATATGGGATTCACAGCATCTGTAGGGGGTTGCAGCCTAAGTGAGAACATACCACGCAAGGGGGTATAAGTTGCACCCCTGGGGCTCTAGGACGTCCCAAAGTGCTCCCATTGACTTACATTGGCCCATTGACTCCCATTCATTTTCTAGACACTCGTAAGATACTATTCCCGGAAATCGCCGTAGCGCCAACAGTGAAACTCGTAGAGACATGGGATTCGCGACATCTCGAGAGGGTTATAGGAGGCTTCAACCCACACCCCGAAAGGCGGTAAATGTTGTACCCCTGGGGAGCTAGGACGTCCCAAAGTCTCCATTGACTTTACATGGAGCCGAACTTTGACGAATCACAGCGCCGAGTGTGAATTTCATAGAAATATGGGATTCACAACATCTGTAGGGGGTTGCAGCCTAAGTGAGAACATACCCTGAAAGGGGGTATAGGTTGTACCCCTGGGGTGCTAGGACGTCCCAAAAGGGTCCCCATTGACTTTACATTGCCCATTGACTCCCATTCATTACATTGACTCCCATTATAAATGTCATATGTCAATCAAAGTACATAGCACTGTCATACAGACTTGGGGGTTGGCTTATTTGACTAAGGCAACCAATCAGCATCTCATTATGATTTTGAAGCTCACAAGCCACGCCCCCCAAACCACTTAAAGACCCTTAATAAGTGCCCCATTGACTTAACATGGGGTGGGATGTCCCATTGCAGATCCCATTGACTTCCATTATAAAGGTCACACATCTATAACATTACATAGGGGTGTCATAGAGACATGGGGGTGGGCTCATCTGACTCAGACAACCAATCAGCATCTCAATATGATAATGAATCTCACAAGCCACGCCCCCAAACTGGTCCCATAGACTGCCATTATAACTGCCCTACATGCATATCTTTGCTTAGCAGTGTCCTATTGACTTGGGGGATTGCTCATCTGACTCAGGCAACCAATGAGCATCTCAATATGATAATGAAGTTCACAAGCCACGCCCCCAAACTGGTCCCATAGACTGCCATTATAACTGGCCTAGATGCATATCTTTGCTTAGCAGTGTCCTATTGACTTGGGGGTTGGCTCATTTGACTTGGACAGCCAACCACATTCAAGTTCACTCTGCAACCTCGCCCATAGCAACAAAACAGAGTACCCTAGCAACCGTTCATCAACAGCTATATCTCAGCATCGGAACATCGTAGAGACTTGGGGATTGGCTTGTTTGACTCATGCTAGCAAACGGAACTTCCTATATGCTACACATGCTAGCAGTGACTAGCTACATGCTAATATTGACTAGCCATGTACTGTAACTTGCTAGAAATGCTTACTAAGTATAAATATTTCATCAGGCAAGTATGTGAGGCTTGCCTAGTAACCACCCAGGGTACCCTAGCAACTGCCTAGCAACCACCCAAATTACCCTAGCAACCGCCTAGTAACGCCTTAGTAAGGGCCTAGCGACCACTCAGGACACCCTAGCAACCGCCTAGCTACGCCTTAGCAACCACTCAGAATACCCTAGCAACCACCTAGCAACACCTTAGCAACCACCTAGCAAACACTCAGGGCACCCTAGCACTGCTGCTAGCATGATGCTAGCAACTCGATTAGCATGATGCTAACACGATTACCATCATGCTAGCTACATGCTAATCATGTTAGCATCATGCTAGCAACTCGATTAGCATGTTGCTAACATGATGCTAACACGATTAGCATCATGCTAGCTACATGCTAATCATGTTAGCATCATGCTAGTAACTCGATTAGCATGTTGCTAGCATGATGCTAACACGATTAGCATCATGCTAGCTACATGCTAATCATGTTAGCATGATGCTAGCAACTCGATTAGCATGTTGTTAGCATGATGCTAACACGATTAGCATCATGCTAGCTACATGCTAATCATGTTAGCATGATGCTAGCAACTCGATTAGCATGTTGTTAGCATGATGCTAACACAATTAGCATCATGCTAGCTACATGCTAATAATGTTAGCATGATGCTAGCAACTCGATTAGCATGTTGTTAGCATGATGCTAACACAATTAGCATCATGCTAGCTACATGCTAATAATGTTAGCATGATGCTAGCAACTCGATTAGCATGTTGTTAGCATGATGCTAACACAATTAGCATCATGCTAGCTACATGCTAATAATGTTAGCATGATGCTAGCAACTCAATTAGCATGTTGCTAGCGTGATGCTAACACGATTAGCATCATGCTAGCATCATTCTAACAACATGATAATCATGTAGTGGACAGTGGTAAAGTGCTCCCTTTTGAGGCAAAAACGTAACCCAAAATGGTTCCATAGACATAACATTGGCACAAAATGGCTGACATTGGCACAAAATGGCTGACATCCAAAAATCCCCATTGACTTAACATGGACACAAAATGGCTGACATTGATATCGAGATTAGAGAGTCGTAGAAGCTTGAGAGTGGGCTCATTTTACTCGGCCTATCAAGTCGGTATTACGTAGTGACATAACACATTTGTAAACACCCCCTAGCAACCACGTTAAGCCCCCTAACAACCATAAAACAACATAAACAAGTCATATTTCAGCACAGGAATATCGTAGAAAGACAGGGTTTGGGTTCTTTTGATGCAGGTTGATCAAATCTCTATTGAGTTCACCCACTAAAACAGCGTTGCCACAGCCTAGCAACCATGTACAATACCCTAGCAACCACATAAACACATGAATTTAACCATTTCTTACCTTTCCAGTGCTATTGCCCAGTTTACTACCATTTTGTACCCCATCGATTTGCCACGCAAACCCCATTCACATTTCCTTTAGGAAATGTACAATTCTAGTTATAATTATTATTCTTACTTCCGCCCAAAGTTCGGCGCGTAACTAGTCCCGCAGCTTTCGTCCCAGACCCTTGAAAGTGGGGTCAAATCGTGCGGTCTTGTCGGGAATGGTGTGCTATGACTTTTATAAGGGGTGGGGGGTTTTTTGGCCCCGCAGGGGCCAAAAAACCCCCCCAAAAATCCCATAGACTTAACATTGAGCCGAACTTTGACGAATCACAGCGCCGAGTGTGAATTTCATAGAAATATGAGATTCACAGCATCTGTAGGGGGTTGCAGCCTAAGTAAGAACATACCTCGCAAGGGGGTAAAAGTTGCACCCCTGGGGCTCTAGGAGGTCCCAAAGTGCTCCCATTGACTAACATGGGCCCCATTGACTCCCATTCATTTTCTAGACACTCGTAAGATACTATTCCCGGAAATCGCCGTAGCGCCAACAGTAAAATTCGTAGAGACATGGGATTCGCGACATCTCGAGAGGGTTATAGGAGGCTTCAACCCACACCCCGAAAGGCGGTAAATGTTGTACCCCTGGGGAGCTAGGACGTCCCAAAGTCTCCATTGACTTTACATGGAGCCGAACTTTGACGAATCACAGCGCCGAGTGTGAATTTCATAGAAATATGGGATTCACAACATCTGTAGGGGGTTGCAGCCTAAGTGAGAACATACCCTGAAAGGGGGTATAGGTTGTACCCCTGGGGTGCTAGGACGTCCCAAAATGGTCCCCATTGACTTTACATTGCCCATTGACTCCCATTCATTACATTGACTCCCATTATAAATGTCATATGTCAATCAAAGTACATAGCACTGTCATACAGACTTGGGGGTTGGCTTATTTGACTAAGGCAACCAATCAGCATCTCATTATGATTTTGAAGCTCACAAGCCACGCCCCCCCAAACCACTTAAAGACCCTTAATAAGTGCCCCATTGACTTAACATGGGGTGGGACGTCCCATTGCAGATCCCATTGACTTCCATTATAAAGGTCACACATCTATAACATTACATAGAAGTGTCATAGAGACATGGGGGTGGGCTCATCTGACTCAGACAACCAATCAGCATCTCAATATGATAATGAAGCTCACAAGCCACGCCCCCAAACTGGTCCCATAGACTGCCATTATAACTGGCCTACATGCATATCTTTGCTTAGCAGTGTCCTATAGACTTGGGGGATGGCTCATCTGACTCAGACAACCAATGAGCATCTCAATATGATAATGAATCTCACAAGCCACGCCCCCAAACT